GCCGGGCTGCGTCCCCTTTCCCTGCCCGCTCTGCAGTTTTTAAATAGGCAAACGGATCCACTCGGACACAATAATTTAGCTTGTTTTGTCTTTGGCGTTTTCTACAGGACCCCAAGAGATGGACCTTCCACACCTCGGTCCTCCCTCTAGAACTGGCATCCTCCATCTCTGTCTACGTAGGCCCAATTATCCAGATCCTTGGGGTTCCAAGACAGTGTGAGTCACTGGAACTGGGAACACCTGGCTGCTGAATCACACCATGCAATTAGATTTTCTTGTTGCTTTGCGTTTTCCTTCTTACTCGATACCCATTTATTTTTTTAAGAGAGCAGCGATTAGCCGCCCGACTGGGCGGAGTAGCTGGGGAGGGGAAGGAAACGCTCACAAGGACGCAGTGTTCAGCCCCTGGAGAAACCTCCAGGCTCGGCAGGGCCAGGGCCGGGGCTCCCTTCCTTCCCTGGGCCTCCCGACCTCCTCCTCCGCGGATGGTTTTTTACCATTACCACCCACCTTCTCCTTCCACTGTCCTCGCTTTGGTTTAATTAAAGTGCAGCGACTCCCCTGGCTTCTCGAATTTCCTCCAGAAATCGGAAACCGATGGCCGGGGCGATCACAAGCTAGCGGCCTCCCTCGCCCACCTCTCTATGCATGCCAAGGCCTCGGGGACCCCGGCTCAGCACGCTGCCGCAGGTGTGCAGCGGGTTGTTCTGGGGACCAGAACCACCGCCCGGCCTGGGCAGGACCTCCAGGTTGGCTGCACAAAAGTTTGGAGGGTGGGCACACCCTGACCCAGGCACCTTGCTCCCCCAAAGCTCTGGCTGACTGATCTGATATGACAAAAACCCGTGATGGATTTGGTATATGTTAATTCACAATGCCCTTTCCTCCAGAATTTAACTATAAGTTAATACACACCGGAAACCACGCGCATACACGCTCGTTAATGGGCTTAGGTATTAGCGAGTCCTAACGATGCATACAAATGTGCTCTGCGCTCTGTAGGCCCCTCAAGATTTATGGGCCTTGAGCTCTCAGAAGCTGTAAACAAGGAGAAAAAAAGAGAAAGCGAGAGAGACTAGGGGAAAGAGACCGAGGCCTGATTCGCCCCTTCAGATTGTGGGAGAGAAGGGATTCTTAGGTATTTTCCTTTGCTTTGCAAGCTCGATGCGAGTGGGATTGGGCACCGGTCTGGGGGTGGTGTTCCACCAGAATGTTGTGTGTGTGGGCAGCGTGTTGTTCGAATTGCTGTAGGAGGAGGCCTGACTCCATTGAATTGTTATTCAGGGGCTTTAAGGTAGCAGGCATTGGTGGGTACATACTGTGTGTGTGCAGTGTTAGGGGTGTGTGTGTGTGTGTGTGTGTGTGTGTGTGTGTGTGTGTGTGTGTGTGCCCAACCCTGGTATGTGAGGCAGGCAGGCCTGTCTCTCTCTGGGTCAGGCTGCAGCCCCCTAAACCCAGTAAACAAATCATAATAACAATAAATAACATAATAAAAACAGTAATTAACAGCCCCTCTTTAGTAGGATAGCAATAAAATACCAAAGGGGATAGTTTGAAGAGGGAGCAGGGGAAGGAAGGAATCACCACCACAGACTCTAAAGGGAAAGACAGAAGGCAGGAAGTTAGTTACTTGAAATGCTCTGAAGGGTCTGGCTCTGGGACCCCTTCTCTCCAGACTGGGTCTAGACAACGGGAGGAAGATCTGGAGGCCACTCATTTTTGTCCCATTCCCCCCCCCCCCCCCCCCGCCCCAGCTTGCTTTGTGCAAGCAGAAAGGGGGCCCTCACACATATGTGGGCTTAGTGGCTTTGGGGACTCCAGGAGTCCCTGCTTTAAAGAGGAGGCCAAACGCGCAGAGTCTATCCGAGGGGCAGAGATGGATGAGGCGTTAGCCGAAGTCGGTGGGGCCGTTGGGACGCAGAAGTGCCGGGGAAGAGTAGCCGAGAGGGAAACAGAAAAAATATTTATGGCCGCCGGGGTCTGGAAAGAGCCCCTGCCCCCCAAGGAGGGAACTCCTGCACATAGCTCCCCCGGAAAGTTCTCTTCTTATAGCCTTTTTCAAAAAGTACGGAGAGCTGAGGCGCGTTGAATTTTTCTTTCCCGAACTTGGAGCCAAGTGATTTTCATGAAGGAAGCGAAGACCGGGTCTGGATTCCTGCTATGTCTACCTCATTCTCTCCAGGTACAGATTTCTGATCATTTTAGTAATTAATTAATCAGGGGGAAGTGGGAGTCAGAGGTGTAGGGATACGGAATTCACGGGAAGGAAGCCGCCCCACAGTTTCGGTTCTAACGAAAAACAACTGCGCTGAGGAAAGGGGGTCAAAAAGGAAAAATACAACACCACACACTAGTCAACTTTTTAAAAGAGCAAAAAGGAAAAGCTAAGACTGCAGCGGGCGAGCAGGAGAACTTCTCAGAGAGTGGTGTCACAAACCTGCCCGGCGCTTTGGATTCTTTTTCAACAGCCGGTGACCAGTTTGGTCTGAAAGGAGTTGGAGGGACGTGCGATCCACTGAGTCACACGCAAAGATTGAAGAATCCTTCCTGGATCCCTCGAATTTGAACAACATCGGGTGGAGGAAGGACCCTGCGATTATCAGCTCAACAAAATAGCAATGGAGCGAAATAAAACAAAACAGGTCAAAGCCAAAGCTGTGCGCCGGGCTCAGAGAAAGGCCCAGATTTCAAATCGTAGGCAGCGCTGTGGCTGCCGAAGTGAAGGCGGCCAAGCAAGGCTGGAGCCCGGATTGTTCAAACCTCAAACTGGGCTACCTTAGATTTGGTGAGCTCCCAGGCCGATTGGAGATTCCCTAAAGAAAGATGATAGGGCCCAAGAGATAAGCTAAAGGACTCTAGCCAGCTTTTTGCTTTTTCATCCCCCCCCCTCCCCTTAGGCCTCTCCACCTGCCTGGGAAATTGATCCAGGGGCTTCTGTGCTTCGTTGGGAGCCACCACCGCCTCCTACCTACTCCTGCTTGGCTCCCTAAAGTCCAGAGACTTCTGACCCTCCATGAGGGGGTACCATTACCCCAGCACGTTAGCCCTCTGCCCTGTGTGCTGTGGCTCTCTTCAGTAATGTCTTACAAAGAAGAAAGAACAGCTTGGAGCCATGTTTACATCTAGTTCTACGGATCCATTCACATCTGGAGAGTTTATTTATAACTCCCTCTATAACTCTCTCCGTTTGGAAGCACCGGTGGCTCTATTGACAGACGGATGTCTACAAAATATTGCTCTACTTCTAACCATACCTAAATGTGCTGTACTTGTGTTTACAGATTTATGCTTCAGGAAAATATAATTATTTCCATTGTATTTGTGCATATACAACAGTTGCAGAAGCAGATTTATATACGGGAAAATATATGACTCTCTTATAGCCATCCAGCTTTATGGACATTTGATATCCTGACAGATTTATATCTCTGAGCAGCTATATAGATAAATGTATATTGTTAGAATTATGTATCAAGAGATATATACTTATTGATTGTGATACAGAGTAGTTAGAGCATCCACTTAGAGCCGTATATGGCTGTGGGGATATTTCTATATTATTATCACTATATATAGGCATATCTATTTATAACCACATAGTTATAAAAATAGACATAAGTAATTATACTCCTATATGTACATGCTGCTATCTCGGTCTAGACTCTAGAGTTATAGACATTTTTGAATATAACTCTGTAGAGATATGTGTATGTATATAAGACGTAATTATCTCATGATGTGTGTGTATGGGGACTTAGGCCAGTCTATCTCCAAACAGGCATATTTATGTGTAGCGGCTGGAGACACTTGTTTGCAGAGATAACTACAGAGGGCTGAGTAGAAAGCTAGGAACTGAGCTAGCAGAGCTCTTTCCTGAGGGAGGTTGGAGTTACAAAAGGATCAACAGTCTAGAAGCGCCCAGGAGAAGAAACCGAGGGTGACTGGGATTTGGTTCAAAGAGTCTGGGAGGAAAGAGGTAAACATCTAACATCTACCAGAAGGTGAAGCAGGTTGATGAGGGACTGGCATAGACAGATGTGGCCTAGGACTTATAGAAGGGGGACAGAGAACATCCTACCTCCCCACCCAGTGCCTCCCCTAACCAGTGGAGCAAGGAGCCCCTTTGGTTCTGTTACTGGTACACTAAAGGCCTCCCCTAACCAGTGGAGCAAGGAGCCCCTTTGGTTCTGTTACTGGTACACGAATTGCTGACCACCTTCTTGCCCCTCTGCTTCAGAGCCTTTCTTTTGAACTCTAATTTTTGGCTCTCAGAGTGGCCTTGAAAAGTGTGAAGAGGCACTGAGTCAGAAGGAAGGTGCCCCCATTCCCCACCCCTGATTTCTGGAAACAAAGCCAAAGGTCTAGGAAAACCTAGTGAAGGATAATTTACCCTCACCTGGGTCTCCTGGGCTCAGTGTGTGTGGTTGGCACTGGGATCGCCCATGGTTCTAGAGGTGAACTTTCCAGTGGTGGGCCTGCTCTAAAGGGTCTGGAGAAGGCCCCCAACACCCCCTGCTCCCCACCCTGGCTTTGGCAGACTAATTCTGCTTGGCCACTCTGTCTCCATCATTCTTTGTATTGGGGTCCTCTCCCCTGGGAACAGAGGGGCCTCCAGCTCCCTAAGAGCCCTGATTTGATCCTTTTTGGAAGGGGCAAGCCTGTAAACCTCACCTTTTTCATTCACATGGTCACAGGCACACTGCTCTCCTGCCAGCCTCTTTCCAAGTACCACTGAGTCAAGACTCTACAACTCTTTTTCCCGCCACCAGCTATGGGGGGGGGGGATTCACACACCCCAATTCATTTTTTTTAACCATAGAGTCACAGATATCTTCCCCCAAAGTGTGGAAGGAGTCTTCCTGAATTAGAATGGGGCAGCCAGTCTTGCCTCTAAAATCTCTAGGGTGCTGGGAAGAGAGTGGAGATTCCTGGGCTGGGGTTAAGCACCATGAAAAACCTCAGCCTAGCTCTGCCCACAGGACTGGGAACTGGTCCAAGGCAGGCCTACTGTCTGTTACTGGCAGAGTTCTTGTTCAATACATGCTCACTGAGGTACACAGAATGTAATCTACCCAAAAGCTCATCATTGCTCTGCACCCCACTGTGGCCATGCTGGCTTAGCTGGTAACCAGCACCAGGCTGGAGGCAGCCTAGTTAGGTTGGCTCCAGTGGAGGGGGGTTGCTTCTGAGAGAGAGGCCCAAGTTCAGGATCAGGGATGAAGCATCCAGAGCCAGGAAATTGGGTTACCAATGCAGGTCCTGTCTCCCCGTGCTCCTTTTCCCCTAAACTCAGTCTCCTGGCTCCTCAGATGCCCAGATGCATAAAATATAAATATAAAGCAAGACACAGGCTGGGATGGAACTGCCTGTCCTGAGGGGCTCAATGGGGAGCCACCACTGATCCATTAAGAAATACACAAACACAGCAAAATAAATCAGTACAAGACAGGCTGGTTAGAGGAAAGGCCCTCCTTGCTTTATGCCTTGGCCCTGCTATAAGGATGTGGAGCAGATCAGATGTATGTTAAAAAAATTAATGGTTAAAAGAGAAATACTTTTTCTACATTAAAAAGCTCACTTTTGATGCAGAAATGTCTTCTAATTGTATTGTTTCATATATTTAATTTTTTAGGGTTGTCATTTTTTTTTCCTTTTTGGTTATGTAAGATTGTTCCTTCTGAGAGCCACTACCAATGAATGGGGATAGATGATAGATTCACCCATCTAGCCCATCTAGTGAAGGGCCATCTTCAGGGATGGGCCAGCCTTCCCCTCTCCCAACAAAGCTCAGAGTTGAGGGGGCTCTCTGGGATTTCCCTTTTTTTCTTAAAGCTCCTTGAAGACATTCACCTTGTTTTTTGTTTTTTGTTTTTTTTTTTTTTTTGGTTTTCGAGACAGGGTTTCTCCCTGTAGCTTTGGGGCCTATCCTGGCACTCTGGAGACCAGGCTGGCCTCGAACTCACAGAGATCCGCCTGCCTCTGCCTCCCGAGTGCTGGGATTAAAGGCCTGCACCACCAACGCAGCTGGTGACATTCACCTTGTTTTTAAAGGAGGGGCTAAGGACCTTGGGTGGGTCCTGGATCCCATTCTCAAAGCTCCCAGCCTGAGTCTCTGGTTCTCCCAGCCCCACCCTAACACCTAGGTTGCCAGAACCCGCCCCCCCCAATGAGAAAGCAAGCTTTCCATAAATGAATGGAGAGAGGGAGAAATGAGAAGTACCACATTCCTGTGTTTGGGCTCCCAGAATGAGATGGGTGGAACACTTATTGTAAACATTAGAACCCTGAAGCTCCAGTAAGGATTGCCTCAGCCTAAAAGCCAGATGCCAAGAAACAGTAGTCCTTCGATTGAATCCAGAGAGTCCTGGGTCCCTTTACCTGGGCTGGAGTGGCCATGCGCTGTTATTTGGGTCTAAGAACTGTTTGGGGAACTGACAAAAATAATTTGTCTCTCTCACTAGCAAAATGTACTAACTAGCACATAGTGTCCTTGACAGTTACTGGGATAACATGGACTCCTAGAAGCTGTGAGTTCTAGATTGAAAACTCCATAGCTAGTAAAAATTCCTATGTTTTTATAACTCCCCCTCTCTCCTTCCAGTCTCTGCTTGGGGCAAGGGGTTGTCAACAATTCCTTCTAGTTCCCGGCCTGTCATTCTTGACAATGCCCTTTTCCTCTCTCTTTACTAGAGCAGGCACCTGGCAGAGAGGCCTTGCTAGTTTCTGTGGGAACAAGGAGAGTAGCTGTTAACTGAAGACTGGCCTATATGGTCCAATTATTCAACTGATTCCTGAGGTGGAGGAGTGCCTAGGGGCATATTGGCAGCAGTAGAGGCCTAGCTGTAGGGAAAACAATTCCCATCTCTAGTGGAAACTCCAATGCCAGGGGCAAGTTGCAATTGCTACAATAATAGTCATAATAATAACAATAATAATTTATTTAGCATATCATTAGATGTGTATTTACTGTTTTCCCTCTGCTTTTTTCACAAGTGTCTCCTAAGGAATTCTCACAACACCCAAGGGAACCAATAATAAGCTAATTACCACCCTTCAGCTCCTTCTCTTTCCATCCACAAAGTTGTCCTCTCAAAGCATCTGTAGAACTCCCTCTTGTGTTTTATAGCTGCCTAACATTCTCCCCTATTCCCATTTCCTCTCTCCCATCTGGGGTGAGGGTCATTCCCACAGTTCAGGAGGAAGAGCTAGAAAGGAGAGAGGTTGAGGCCCAGAGACATCTTCTTTTCTGTGGTTTTTGTATTAATATTGCTTTCCTGTTATTGCAATAGTGCTTGGGAGGAGACACAATTCCTTACTCCCTGGGCTGCTTCTTTTAGACAGAAGGCTTGGGCTGTTACGATGTGAAGATGCAGGCACAGGTTGGGGTTGTAGCCAGTCCTGCAAAACAAACATTCACTTGGTGCCTTTCAGGTTTTCAGGTCAGACCTCGACCTGCCAGATCCTACATATCTTATTGGTTCCTTCGTGGGAAAGAAGGAAAGAGTAGAGGGGAAAAGAAAGCAAGAGGGAGGAAAGAGGAAGAGGAGTGTGTGTGTGTGTGTGTGTGTGTGTGTGTGTGTGTGTGTGTGTGTGTGTGTGTGTGTGTGTGAGAGTGTGTGTGTGTGTGTGTGTGTGAGTGTGTGTGTGTGAGTGTGTGTGTGAGAAAGAGAGAGAGAGAGTGTGTGTGTGTGTTTCCTTGCTAGGGACATAACATATTTTTCCTGAGGATATAATCACAAAAGTGGCTATCCCACCACAATGCTAAGGATCAAGCCCAGGTTCTCATATATGCAAACAAGCACTCTACCACCAAACTCTGTCCTTAGCTCCAGGTTATGCATTTAGAATATTAATTTCTTCAAGTCATAGTGGCTCATATTTGTAATCCCAACACTCAGAAAAGCAGGAGTATTGTCAAACTTTAAGGCCAGCATGGGCTACAAAGTGGGACCCTGTCTCAGCAACTCCCCCATAATAAAACATTAATTTATTTGCATTGTATTATATAAATTTGTATCTTCTCAGATCTTATAATGATGACACAGAGCAAACACAAGCTTTTGAGTGATTGATTCTGGCTGGACTTTTGGACCAGTTAAGGGATTCCTGGAGTCTCAGTGATCTGTAAAGCACAGCCTGTGTTACTCACTTCCTTGACTCCAGCCAGGTGGAGACTGAAGCTACTGTCATAAGAGTCTGAGCAGAAGCAGTGCTGCCTAGCTAGGTCACTGAGCCCCTGGGTGCTGCTGATTTCCTGGTCCCCAGGATCAGCCCCTACCAACAATCCCAAGAACACAATCATACCCTGGGAAGGAGCCAGTCCAGGCTGGAAAGCACAAGAGCCAGGTAGAGTCAATATCAAGTTAGAATCAAATCTACATCCCCC